CGCCTCAAGCCCCGCAAACACTTGGGGGGCATCTCACATAATTGAACACATCTGCTATTACTCTCCTCTGTCTCTCATTGCTTGTATCTCCTGCTTCCCTACACTTCTCGAAGTAATAAAATATCTAGACGACCCTAACACTTCATAGTGGACGTAGGTCACGTTGACCGAACCACTTTACATCTTTGCCTANCCGCAAACACTTGGGGGGCATCTCACATAATTGAACACATCTGCTATTACTCTCCTCTGTCTCTCATTGCTTGTATCTCCTGCTTCCCTACACTTCTCGAAGTAATAAAATATCTAGACGATCCTAACACTTCATAGTGGACGTAAGTCACGTTGACCGAACCACTTTACATATTTGCCTCACTTGAGTTATTCTCTCACTTTATTTAATAACTGCATTAATTATCAGTCATTGGACAGGTGGTGTGCAAAATTAATTTATGCATCATCAACAATAATTTTATATTTTTTCAGATGCCACTGAGAGAGTAAATGGTTCAGAATAGATGTTAAAGGCCTGTTTGGTTTGCATCTCAAAAAACAGTACTGAAAATTATTTTTGGGAAGACTTTTAAGAAAGTGTTTTTTAAAATTTTTAGATTGCAAAACCTGTTTGGTTATATATTTTTCAAAATAGTTTTAAAAACAAAAATTATAAAATTTGTTTGGACAATAATCTACAATTTCTATTTCTCGCTTTAACTCTCTATCTCTTTGTCTCTCTCTTTCACTATGCATCAAAACACACAAAGCACCGATCACCACCGAAACCCACAGGGCATCGAAACCCACAACCTAGCCGAAATCCACAACCACTGAAGACAACCCACAACTACTATTGAAGACAACCCAGCCGAAACTCACAACCACCACAGAAAACAACAACAAAACCTACAACCACCACCGAAGACAATCCACAGCCACTGCCAAAGTGGTGGTTCGTCTGGATTTGCCAAAGTGGAGGGAGAAACTCAGGTGATAAAACAACGATTTCCCTGGCTTTGGTCTTTGTTGCACAGGATATAGAGAAAACAGACCCTAAGTGAAAGACTTTTATACTTTGACAAAAAAAAAATACATTTTGCTGGAAATGAAGTTTGATGGGTGGACCTCTTTAAAGAGGAGGAATTGTTTCCCCTGTTTTCTATTTTAACCTCAAAACTCAAAAAATAAGTCATACTTGTTTTCTATTTCTTTGCTCCAAATTTCATTTGTTTCTCAAAAAATTGAGAACAAAAATATTAAACAAACATATTTTGGGTGTTTTTGAAATTTTGAGGACAAAAAATTGTTTTCCAAAACTAAACCAAACACGCCCTAAATTTTTTGTATTAGTTTCTTGTACTCATGAATTGTTGTTATGTTATGCAAAATTGCACATTTTACACTTTGCTTAATTTATGGTATTTTTCTTAGATATGAAAATATTGCTATATTTTTAGAAATGTTAGTCATATTTCCTTGTATTTATCTGTATATTGAATTGTGTAGGTGTAGGGACGTATACTTTTAAATTTATGTGATGAAAATGTATACATGCACAAGACATATAACATTGGTTACCAATTATACATAATACATATTTTTTTAAAAAAAATTATTATTATTTTTTGCTGCGGCATTGTTGCCTTCGTAAAGAATGTAAGTAAAAAAAAATTGCTAGTTTTTGTAACGGCATATTAACCACAAAACAAATCTTCTATTTTTTTACGATAGCCAAAATGGTATTTGGTATTTGAGGCTGCACTTTATCCCCCACCACGTTATTTCCCACTACTAATGCTTGTGTGTGTGTGTGAGTGAGAGAGATAGAGAGAGTCAAATAGAAGATTTACCAACAGCACCAATAAGATAATCCTTCACTGAATATTCACCAGGCACATATTTCTTGATACATATTTATCGGTAATACTACGCTGACCAATACTACGCTCACCATTTGCACTTAAAAACTTTCTTATATAATAAAACAACTTGGCATCACCAATAAGCCAGATCATTTTTGGCGGAGATGGTAAGCTTCAATATCTTTGGTCATAACAAGATGAAAGTCCACCAATGCATTTGCATCTTCGACATCCTCATTAAGCTTCTCGTACTCAAAAGTCCATGTCACCACACTGATTTCACCTTTTGTATCAACATCAACAGTTGCAATCATGGTCTTGTAAAGATCCAAGAGGCTTCCTTCAACCAGCTTCCAAGTGATTGACTTCTTGTCGTCATCAACTGCATCAACAATATCTCTTGTAACCTTCTTTTCCCCACCTATATATGGATGGAATCATACATCTTGTAACCTTGAGCCATGAAAGCGGACTTTGCTTGTAAGTAAATCTAGAAAATGAAGTGACTTACCAAAGGTATAGGACCAAATCATTCTAGATCCCACGGTTCCCCATTCACCTTCATATATTTCAACACCTTGCAAATTACTAGGGCTCATATACGATATTTGGTTTGGTCTGTATCTCCAAATCTCATAGAACAAATCTCCATCAGACTTGATCTCCGTTTGCCCTGTCACCTTACCAGTAAGACCCATTTCTAACCTAGCTATTATCAAACAATGCACAACAGAAATAAAGTGGAGGCAAGTGGTGGATAAAAAAACTTGGTCCTTTGATCTCTATATAACTGATCCCTGACTGAGGATTACATCTTCCAACGTGTGAAACGTGCACAGTGAGGTCTCTCTACTATATTTTTTTTCTCTAGTTTTTTCCTTGATAATCATATGTCATAAATTTAAATAAAACTTGTGGTATATAAATAAGTTCCTAATTTATTAATGGTGGATGCCTTTCTAAAAAAAAATTAGATATCTACGTTCACGTGCGAGAAAGAAAGAGAGAATGATTGAGACTGGATACCCACTATGGCACCATTATTGTCCTTGGGGTTCGGTGGCCCATAGTACTACTACAAATCACATGATTGATGTGTTTTCGTATAGTCCCATCATAGGATTTATAGAACTATTGGTATGTTTGGATGTTCGGAAAGGATTAGATTGAATATTTAATTTATATTCATTTTTATCCATGCCTAACCCACCACTCACTTGCATTGGTTTGGATATATGTCCTATCCGATGTTTGGTAAGTAATTTTTCATTTTGTGGGACTCACAGATATGACTGATATCAAAAACATTATTTAGGTTAATNCTCTCTTTCACTATGCATCAAAACACACAAAGCACCGATCACCACCGAAACCCACAGAGCATCGAAACCCACAACCTAGCCGAAATCCACAACCACTGAAGACAACCCATAACTACCATTGAAGAAAACCCAGCCGAAACTCACAATCACCACAGAAAACAACAACAAAACCTACAACCACCACCGAAGACAATCCACAGCCACTGCCAAAGTGGTGGTTCGTCTGGATTTGCCAAAGTGGAGGGAGAANAGAGAGAGAGAGACCAAGATGGCTTGAAGCAGCTTCTTGTCCGCTTTCATCGTCGCCTTCACAGAGTGACCAAACCCATAAATGGTTTGAAGCGAGTGGAACCAGAAATGAGAGGGTAAATATGTCATTACCTATAGAGAACCTATCAGTTGGGATTTAAACTCAAGGGGNAAACTCAGGTGATAAAACAACGATTTCCCTGGCTTTGGTCTTTGTTGCACAGGATATGGAGAAAACAGACTCTAAGTGAAAGACTTTTATACTTTAACAAAAAAAAAATACATTTTGTTGGAAAGAAAGTTTGATAGGTGGACCTCTTTAAAGAGGAGGAATTGTTTCCCCTGTTTTCTATTTTAACCTCAAAACTCAAAAAATAAGTCATACTTGTTTTCTATTTCTTTGCTCCAAATTTCATTTGTTTCTCAAAAAATTGAGAACAAAAATATTAAACAAACATATTTTGGGTGTTTTTGAAATTTTGAGGACAAAAAATTGTTTTCCAAAACTAAACCAAACACGCCCTAAATTTTTTGTATTAGTTTCTTGTACTCATGAATTGTTGTTATGTTATGCAAAATTGCACATTTTACACTTTGCTTAATTTATGGTATTTTTCTTAGATATGAAAATATTGCTATATTTTTAGAAATGTTAGTCATATTTCCTTGTATTTATCTGTATATTGAATTGTGTAGGTGTAGGGACGTATACTTTTAAATTTATGTGATGAAAATGTATACATGCACAAGACATATAACATTGGTTACCAACTATACATAATACATATTTTTTAAAAAAAAATTATTATTTTTTTTTGCTGCGGCATTGTTGTCTTCGTAAAGAATGTAAGTAAAAAAAAATTGCTAGTTTTTGCAACGGCATATTAACCACAAAACAAATCTTCTATTTTTTTTACGATAGCCAAAANTTAAATTTATGTGATGAAAATGTATACATGCACAAGACATATAACATTGGTTACCAATTATACATAATACATATTTTTTTAAAAAAAATTATTATTATTTTTTGCTGCGGCATTGTTGCCTTCGTAAAGAATGTAAGTAAAAAAAAATTGCTAGTTTTTGTAACGGCATATTAACCACAAAACAAATCTTCTATTTTTTTACGATAGCCAAAATGGTATTTGGTATTTGAGGCTGCACTTTATCCCCCACCACGTTATTTCCCACTACTAATGCTTGTGTGTGTGTGTGAGTGAGAGAGATAGAGAGAGTCAAATAGAAGATTTACCAACAACACCAATAAGATAATCCTTCACTGAATGTTCACCAANGTATTTGGTATTTGAGGCTGCACTTTATCCCCCACCACGTTATTTCCCACTACTAATGCTTGTGTGTGTGTGTGAGTGAGAGAGATAGAGAGAGTCAAATAGAAGATTTACCAACAGCACCAATAAGATAATCCTTCACTGAATATTCACCAGGCACATATTTCTTGATACATATTTATCGGTAATACTACGCTGACCAATACTACGCTCACCATTTGCACTTAAAAACTTTCTTATATAATAAAACAACTTGGCATCACCAATAAGCCAGATCATTTTTGGTGGAGATGGTAAGCTTCAATATCTTTGGTCATAACAAGATGAAAGTCCACCAGTGCATTTGCATCTTCGACATCCTCATTAAGCTTCTCGTACTCAAAAGTCCATGTCACCACACTGATTTCACCTTTTGTATCAACATCAACAGTTGCAATCATGGTCTTGTAAAGATCCAAGAGGCTTCCTTCAACCAGCTTCCAAGTGATTGACTTCTTGTCGTCATCAACTGCATCAACAATATCTCTTGTAACCTTCTTTTCCCCACCTATATATGGATGGAATCATACATCTTGTAACCTTGAGCCATGAAAGCGGACTTTGCTTGTAAGTAAATCTAGAAAATGAAGTGACTTACCAAAGGTATAGGACCAAATCATTCTAGATCCCACGGTTCCCCATTCACCTTCATATATTTCAACACCTTGCAAATTACTNCTTCAACCAGCTTCCAAGTGATTGACTTCTTGTCGTCATCAACTGCATCAACAATATCTCTTGTAACCTTCTTTTCCCCACCTATATATGGATGGAATCATACATCTTGTAACCTTGAGCCATGAAAGCGGACTTTGCTTGTAAGTAAATCTAGAAAATGAAGTGACTTACCAAAGGTATAGGACCAGATCATTCTAGATCCCACGGTTCCCCATTCACCTTCATATATTTCAACACCTTGCAAATTACCAGGGCTCATATACGATATTTGGTTTGGTCTGTATCTCCAAATCTCATAGAACAAATCTCCATNGACTGCAACATAAATCTCATATCGATATAATAACATGCAAATCATTCGCGTCGGTTGAATCCAGTTTTTTTTTTATGGCAAACTATAAAAACTTTGTCAATCAACCTATAAACTGTGGTGTCTTACCCTGGGTGTAGTTTCAAAAGATGACCGATCCTACAGTTCCTCATTCACCTTCATGTAAATTAACACCCTGTACATTTCCAGGGCTCATATTGGATATATGGTGTGGCCTAGCTCTGAAGACCTCATGGAACACATCTCCATCGGACTTGATCTCCGTTTGGCCAACCAACTTACCAGTAAGACCCATTTCTAGTTCAGCTACTCTCAAACAATGCACCACAAAATAAATGTGGAGAAAATACTTGGCCCTATGGTCTTTATGTAGTTGAACTATGACTATGGATTAGATATTTGTTTGCTGGGTGCTACCTCTACTTGTCCAATTATTGCTTATTAGACATAACCTGTCCTACTTGAGAAGGTCCTTTTTTTTTTTTCCCGGTCCGACACACGAGAAATATCTTTTTTTTTGTTATTTGACGTTTAGGGGTGTTTAGGTCATTTTAAGTACAACTCAACTAATCTCTTCTCTGGTTCTATCAAAGACAGACCATCCACATTAGAATTAAGATATTAAAGATCTCTTGTGATCTGACCCTAAGAGATTGTCAAGATTCGAATTTAGAATATTTGAATTTACAACTCATCACTTTTACCATTTGAGCTACTCCACGTGAGAAATATCAATAGCTAAAGAAATTAGGATTTCATATCGTCTCTCACTTTAGTTTCTTAGCTTTTAATATGATTAATTTCTCAGCTTTTAATTTGCTCTTCGACTTTTAACATATAGTGTCTATTAATCTAACTCATAATGATAATCAAACTTTGCATAAAAAAAAAAAAAGTAATTAGGGCGCCTTTTTTTTTCGAACAGAGAAAAAAGGAAATAAGAGATTTGTCAAATCGGTATGCATAGAAAAAATATAAAAACCTCTAATATAACATTTCAAGACACAATTTTTACCCCGAATATGTTGTTTCAATTGAGTCCATGTTTTGTGAGTCTCATGTGTTTATATGTGTAGCAGAAATTCATAGAAAGGGGAAGAAAACGAGGATAGAATATTCAATTATAGGCTTAATTTTGATTCATTATAGAATTAATTTGAAAATTAGGATATTTTATTTTTGTATTAGATTGTAAACATTAGTTTTGTTGATGTAACCGATATAAATTCATTAAGATTTTAAAAGATAATTAGTTGTCTCTATTTCTTGTAAAATGTCACATTATTTCAATACGTAGCCTATTAATTATTATGAGCCACCACCAGAAGACTGGGACTGGAGACCTACCATGGCATCATTGCAGTCTGCATCAAGTTCAACTTCATCAACTCACTTCACCAATAAGGACCTGACTGACAAACAAAATTAGGTATTGTAATTCTAAAATTTATTATTTTAATAAATATTTTTTAATTTTAATGAAATATTTTATAAATAAAAAATTTACCATTTTTGTAAGAATTTATAATTTTTATGAATATTTTTATCACTGTTGTGTTAATTATTTTTATCACTTTTTTTGGTACAAAAAAAAATTATCATTTTGGTAAATGATTTATCGGATTTATGAGTATTTTTACCACTCGTGTGAGTGTTTTTACTACTTTTGTGATAAGTATTTTTACTATTTTTTTTGATACCACAATAATGTATAAAATACTCATTACAGTGATAAAAATATTTATAAATGTGATAAATGAAAGTATGATACCGAACTTTTTTTTTTCTCGGTACCATGGGCAACTCCCACCAACAATATTTTCATTTACTCACTTCATAGATTTTTAATTGATTTATTTATAGTTATTAATTATAAAAATAAAAACACTTTATAAGTGTTATCTTCTCGTTGGATTGAAAAAAATACATGATATCAAAAAATAAAGAGAATCTAGGAAAAATAAACTTGTCAATAGATGTAGGATTTAGATTTCTTCTATTATATTTTTCCTTAATTTCACTTAATTCAGTCACATGGCTTGTGCAAAATCCATGGTCTTAGCCAGCGTGCGAGTGATTCCGACTGACACATCCGCATTATTGGTTATGTGATTTCTCATGGTGTAGCTGAATTGGGACCGAAAGTGAGATAATCCAGATTTTTTTTAAAAAGTACACATTTTGGTATAGCTGTTAATGAATTATAACTAAAAAGGCGAGGGGGGACATGTTGGATTTCACTAGATTGGTTTGTCCATTCCCAGCTGTTTCGAGAGAGAGAAGACTCATTGGAGAAGGAGATCAGTTACAGGATACTGTTCATGTCTAGTCCATATCGTTCATGCATTTCCGTCATTGAGGTCTACTCTGGAGTTCTTCAATTTTTTTCTTGTAACGAGAAGTCGTTTCAGTTAGAGGTTACAATTTTAAACCATAATCCATTAATCCGTCTAACTCATTCATAAATAAATGGATTGAGTACATACATTAATTAATATGAGTTCTAAATGAGTTAAGTAATATGATTTATTTTAATTAAACGGGTTAATATGGACTACAAATAAGTATCTATTGAGTTGAATATTTATCTTTTTATTAAATAATACAAGTAATAAAATTAAATAAATATACTAATATACCATAAAATACACACATTATTACACCCATTAATACACCAAAACATATACATTCTAGTACACCCAAAATACACACCACTCATGACCCACGGGTCGACCCATGACTCACGACCCATGGGTTGACCCATAACCCCATGACCTACGACCCATAGTCCACAATTGACCTCGACTCATTATGTGTGTATTTTTTTTTATTAAATATTTTTTAGTTTTTGTGTTAGTATATGTGTGTGCATTTTTCTTGTATTAGTGTGTATATTTTTAATGTATTAGTTTGTGTGTGTTTTGTTGTATTATTGTGTTTGTGTATGTTTGTATTTTGTTGTACTATTAATATGTGTGTGTGTGTGTGTTTTTTTGTATACTAATGTGTCTATTAAGAATTTTAATTATTTTATGGGTTAATCGGTTTAATCCAACTTGTTATAAATTTAACTCATTATAACCCATTTACTAGGCGAGTGAAAAATGGATTTGATTTATTTAGGTCAATCCAATTTAATCCAACTCATAACCAACTCAGCCCATCCATTTGCCACCCCTAGCTCCGACCATTGTTCTTACCGACCATTGTTCTTATCATTTCAACCCGGATCTCAAATATATGCGCACAATCACTCGTGCACCAAATGTACAGGGCAAACCAGACTCTTTGGCCGTCAGTAGAACTCAAATTTAGGAGATGAATACTTACTCAAATTTAAAATCCTTCAATTAAACAAAACAACAATTTCTTGCTCTTTTACAACCTTTTGGCTGAGGTTAAATGCATCATATGTATATGTTTATGCATACATATATGTATGATAAAGTGGACTACATGCCTGAGCTGTTATTGCGAATATATTGCATCACAGTAACTTGGAATGCCTGTTATTTCTACAATGGTTTTATGCATTGATATATGACTTTTGGGCTATTTGTTACCATTCTCTTCCCTTCTTTTCTCCTGGCATAAATTACTGTGAAATGCTGGAGAGCTGTTTGGTGGAATATGCTTTGGGCAATGTGATGCTACAGTGTCTAGCTACGTAGTCCTGATGTTCTACTGGGTCTGATGTTGTAACTTGTTGTGGGCTTTTTTTGATTGGCTGGACCGCTGATGCTATTGGGCTTTGTTGGAGTAACCTGATATGTTCTCTTCTGTTTTCATCTTGTATATTTTTGCTTTCATCTTGTATCTTTTTGTTTTCATCTTGTATATTTTTGCTTTCCATTATATACTGGTATTTTGTATAAATCAACCGTCCTAGAGTATGATTTTGAACCAGCATTTGTACAAAAATCGACAGTTTGGTTTCATTTTTTTTCCCAGCTCCATTTTTGGTCCTTATATTCATTTTTTTGCACACTTTCCTGCATCAGTTAGTCACTAGTGCTTTGTGTCTGTGGGTGTGTGTGGTAGAGAGAGAGAGAGAGAGAGAGAGATGGCTTATCAGGCCATCATTTATATAATAAGACTATTTCGACCTAATTTATTGCTCACGATAAGTTAAGTTCAAATGACATTTCTTTTATTCATATATAAAAAGATACATAAGCATTACCGTAAGATATTTCTTTAGACTCTCGTAATAGCTCAAAAAATAAAAGATATTCCTTCACACAAGTTTCACAAAGCCCATATTTATTGACTAACATTATTCGAAGGATAAAATATCCACACATAACACTTTCAAACATTCTTAACATCAACTTTGTAGCACCAGTCAGCAATATATATCTTCCCAGTGTCCATTGCTTGAGATGCTGTTGGTCTATAATCTCTTATTCATGGGCCATTTTGGACCTGGATGAAGATTCCCAACTCCCACTCCCTCTTATGACGCATTCCATGAAGATATTGTCCTGGAACTGTAGAGGAGCTTGTAATAAAAGATTTTAGAGAGCCTTTGATGATATTTTCAGAGCCCATAAACTAGAAATTGGGGTGCTAATGGAAACCAAAGTCCCTAGCTCTCAACTGAGGAACTTTTTCTCTCAATTTGGTCAAACTATGGTTGAAAAAGTTGAACTTTGAGGGAATACCTGGGGGTATTTGGTTGATGTGGGATCCTACACTGGTAATGGTGAACAAACACCAATCCATAGCCCAAGTCATCCATGCCCACGTATCTCGGCTAGACTTTGATGAATGACTATTCTCAGCAATTTATGGTAGTCTCAACCCCCTCGAATAGAGACCACCTCTGGGATAACCTAAATCAAGTTGGAGACAACTATTCTCACGGGTGGATGGCCGTTGGAGACCTTAATGATTTCTCTAGCCACTCGGAGAGAAGAGGAAGACATTCAGACCATAGCAATAGAATCAGGAAGTTTAGAGAAAGGATCAACAAATGTGGCCTCATCGACCTTGGGTGCAGTGGTTCGAGACTCACTTGGAATAACAAGAGAAAAAGGCTGGCTAACACTAAAATAAGGCTAGATAGAGCATTGACGAACTGTCAATGGACCACTCAGTTCCCTGAAACAAGTGTCCAAAATCTCCCTAGAACTTACTCTGATCACTGCTCACTCCTGATCCATATCAAAGGTAACCCTCATTCCTCTTCTATTTCTAGACATTTTAGAATGGAAGCAATCTAGTTAACAAGGTCTGATTTCAAAATCGATCTTGAGAAAGCCTATGACAGGGTAAGTTCCTTCCTTCACCAAA